CTCCTTCTTCTCCTTCTTCTCCTTCTTCTCCTTCTTCTCCTTCTTCTCCTTCTTCTCCTTCTTCTCCTTCTTCTTCTTCTTCTTCTTCTTCTTCTTCTTCTTCTTCTTCTGTACTTTGTTTTATGCTTTTGTTCATTTATCTTTTGTTCATTTTTTTTATCCCCTAATTTTTTTGGTTATTACACATATATAGGATGGAAGAATTCAAGCTACTATAGGGGCTTCTCTTCGAATAAGAGAATCATTAAAGGAAGGACATGTTTACATTTTTTCTACTTTTGGTGTGTCTCTGAATGTTGATCCTTTTAAGCCAACTATTCAAGATTATAAGATTGTTTTCAATCCTAGAACAACGCTATCTTTGGTGTGTTATTCCAACATTTCAAAATATGGGTTCTTTTTATGGATTATGACAAAATTTTGAGTCAGACAAAAGAAAATGCTTTTTTAGTTGGTATGTTCAATTATTCTTATGATTCTTCACTTTCAAAATGTTTATATTTTTAGTTGGTATGTTAAAATATTATATTTTTATATTATCTAAATTTGTACTTTTATTTCTTTAAATTTTGTTGATGCAATTGGTTTGCTCTCAACAATCATTGATAGGAAAGAGACAACAAAGGATGGAACAACACTTGAAATGATTACATTTGAATTGGATGATCTTCAATGTTTATCCCAAATTAAAAATTTAAGTAATATTTTAATTTTTTTTTTATTTTAGTTTGTTGGATTTATAAACTATTTGTCATAAGTGGGAGGAAAATCAAGTGTACTCTATGGGAAGAATTTCTTGAAAAAATGATATCTTGATTGAAAACAAATTCCAATGGACCAATCATCTTTGTGATTCAATTTGCGAAAATAAAGTTTTGGAAAGGCATGCCTTTTGTTTTTATTTTATTTATGCTATTTTTATAAAATGAATGTTACTTTCTGAAAATAAAACTGTTTTATTTGGACTTTTTTAGGTGAGATGGGAATTTTCTATGCAAAGTTCAATTCTAGGATATTAATCAACAATGATGAAATTCTTGAGATTTTGGCTCTCAAAGGGAGGTAATCTTAGTTTTGGATGCTGTTTGGCTTTTTAGATCTATTTTCTTAAATTATCTTTTGCAATTAATGCCTTTTTTAAATTGGGTAATGGGATTCCGGTGGGTGAAGAGTCAAGTGGTCAAATATTGAGTCATCCAAACTCAACTGCTTATGTTTTAGAGGAAGAATTCTTAGTAGCTTTTGTATAAAAAACTATTATTAAGATTAAACACTGTCAAGATGAAAACACTGCCCTTCTAAGAATAAAATTATTATAGTCTATTAATTTGTTATTTTTTGGATGACAATAACTGTTATTTTTCTTTGCTAATTTAGGTGGTGACTTATGTGATTCTTGCAGAGGTCACACATATTGAATCTACAAGTAATTGTTATTACAAGAGTTGCAATACTTGCACAACTGAAGTTGTGTCTGATTTTGGAATTTGGTATTACAGAAAATGTGAGAAATAGTTGAAGAATCCTCGAATCAGGTTTTGTCTTATTTGTATATCAATTTTTTCATTTTTATTTTCTTCCTTGAAATTGCAAAATATGCTAAGTGAGTTAGTTTTGTTGCCAAAAATATATTATCTTAATTTTGTTTGATGAAAACATATTTGTATATTTCTCCATTGACTTAAATTCTTATATAAGTGAATTTTTCTAAGACAGTTTTGATACTCTTCACTTGTGTATTTTAATTATATTTTTTGAATTTTTATAAGTACTACAGTTAAGTTAGAGTAGTTGATGAAATTGTTGCAGCTTTCTTAATTCTCTTTGGCTCTGCTGCATTGGGTTGTCTCAAAATATCAGCTTCTAAATTGCATGATCCGCAATTGAAAAGGGAATTTTGTCATTTATTTTGAACAATTTCTTAATAGTTGCTTCAAATATATGTGGATTTGTTTGTATAGTTTCTTAAATATGTACAATCTCCTTTTTCAAGGGTGATGATCCAAAGAAATACCCTAAAGAGTTTGTTGTTTTGAAGAATAAGAAGATTATATTTAGAGTCAACATACAGAAACATAACATCAGTTATGTTGAAGAAACTGTTTAACATGTTGGGAAGGTGTGCTATGATGATGAAATTATTTTGACTTTTTTGAATTCCAACAAACTATCAAGGATATGTTTTATATTAGAAATTTTATTATATGATTTATTGTTAAATCAAAAATTTTGTTTTCTTAATTCATTTTTTATTTTTATCATGAAAGAGTCATTTGAACTTCAAAATTATTTTTTTGATGGTGACTTTAATAATACAGGAAAAGAAAAGATTGTGGTGGTATACTTCTTAAAATTAAATTATTTGGACAACCAAGCAACATTTCATTTTCAAGAAAATTGGAACTCTTATTAGTTGCAATACATGCATTGTTGGGATGGAACAACTTTTATAACTCTCATGTAAGTGAAGTTAGTTGCATTTCTACTTTTGTTAATTTTTTCATCTAGTCCAACCCTTGCCCGACAAAATATTATCACCCCTCATGCATATTCTATTTACACCTGTGGTTTATGGTGCACTTGGTTTCATGACAAAGCAAGTATAATGAGAATGGGTCAATGATTGCTATAAAAATTGTATGCTTCTTGGCAGTTATTCTAATCAAGGTTATCATAGTGCTTTATATAGTTTTGGAATTAATACTGTTTTAGGGTGCTACAGGGTATAGATTCAGGAGATGTTAGTGTTTTTGTGTGGTAGTTTTAAATTTTGAAAAACTTCATCCTGATCTTATGCATTCAAAATATGGCATCAATTTAAAACTTTTAAGTACATAATCTCTATTAAAGAATTATATTTTTTTTTGGATGAATTTGCTAATAAATATATAAACAAATGAAAATTTTAATCTTGATTTGTTGTCTTCAAAAAAGAGAGCCTATGTCATACTGATTAACTTTAACAATATGCTTGGGTTATTGATGCATGCATCAAGCTTATTAAGCCTTTTTTAAGAATAGTATACATAGTGTATCTTTTAAATATGAGATTTTTTTTTTTAACCTTCCTTTAATATGAGGTTAATAGTACCTGATGGTATTTAATTTGTTATGTATGCTAATTTATAGAATTTTTCATATAGATATGGATTTTATTTTCCTATATTCGTTATGTATAAAAAAAAGTGCAATGATAAAGAGAAGTTTTTTTGTTTCTTTGTGTAGGTTTTTGAGACTGCATTTAAGAAGGTAAATGTGGATGCAAAATAATGAAATCTTAGGATAAGGGGATGAGAGAGTATGCAATGATCATGGATTTATAATATAAACATGTTATTGTGCTTTGTAAAATTTTATTTCTTCTGCTAAATAATATTTTGTCCATTCTTTAATATATTTATTGTTGTACAAAATAAAATATAATCATTACACAACTCAACTATTTATTAGTCTATTGGAGAACGCTTTTTTACTAAAAGATTCAAAGGGAAATTTGGAGACTTAAAACAATTTTTAGGAGGGCATCCTCATTAAGAACTTTAAAATTTATAATAATAAGTTTAAAATTTTTTACTTTATTGGTGATAGTTATGTTGAATAACAATGCAAATGTAAAAAATGGTTGTGCGGAATTTATCTCAAAAATTTTTTTTAATGTTTCTTACGTAGGTTTTTTTTATAGTTTTTCTCACATTATATAAAACTTAAATGTGTTTTTTTAATTCAATGGTCAAGAAAACTTTTAATTGTGTTTTTTTCATTTATTATTATTTGTTTGATTTGTTGGATATTATTAGTTTTTACTATTTACATGTCAAATATAATTATATTCTATCTTTTAAAGTAAATAATATTATTATTAATATAAAAATTATTAATTTAAAATATAAATCATATATTTTATAATAAAGTAACCTGTGTGAGGACACTAGTATTATCTAGTTCTAATAGAAGACAAATAAGGAATAAATTCATTTTAAAGGAAATTTAATTGGACTTGGACACCATCTTAGTAGCTATATAAAAACCTTCACTCCCTATGTCACCCACTGCACTCATTCTCTTCGGTGGAGAAGAGAGGAAGAATTACACACACAAATCAAGTTAAAAAGAGTGAGGAGAAATTCAAAAGTTTCTGAATATTCATCTATTTACCATGTATTGCATCTTAAAATTTACTATTTTTTGGAAGTATAGCATGTTCTTGTTTTGGATCTGGACAACTCGTATATGCAAGAAGTTTTTTTTTCTTTTTCGATCTATAGCATGATTCTGTCTTCTGTGTTTAGATTTGGGTCGTTAGGTACTCTAGTCAGCTCCATAAGTTTGGCTGTTTTTGGCTGTTCAATAGAATTTGAGAAGGAATTTTGTGTTTTCTTGGATCAAATTGTTTTAAACATCATAAATGGTGATTTTGGTTGCTACGTCACTTGATGTTTCTTTGCTTTCCGTTTTGACTTTAGAAGTTTGTTCCCTCAAGAAATCATTTCTCCGATCTGATTTGTATGACTTTAGGAATATTCCATTAAAACAAATGTTCTATTCTATTGGTTTCAATGCTGATTTATTGGTCTGTTTATAGTTAGTTATTGGTCGGTGTCTCCTCTCTCTGTGGTAGTCATTGTCTTCTCCTTTCTTTGGCGTCTATGTTGTTATGCCAATAAAAATTATTGAAAGGTTTTTATTTATTTTTTATTTAAAATTAGGTGTCCCAAGTCAATTTTTATGCATCTTAAAATTAATTTTTTTCAGACAATTTTAAAAGTGCATCCTAACATTGGTTTGGTGCATTCAAGAAAATTTATTTCCTTGGGTATTGGCTTCAAAACTTGAATTTTGAATCTAACATATAAAATGACACTTGTTTATCAATTGATATAACTGAAAATTATAAAAAGTATTGAAAGTTAAAATTATAGATGAAATAGTGAAAATTGCTTAAGAAAAATCATTCATTAATTGTATTAATTAAGTTTATAGAAAATTATTTAACAGTTAAACCTAAAAAAAAGATAAAAACCATTTCAAAATCATATCGTTTTAGTAAATTTCTATTAAAAAAAATTAAAATAACTTACATTTTAAAATAAGAATGATACTGTTTTAATTTTTTTTTTGTAATATTTTTTAAAAATAACATAATTTTAAAGTGTTTTTTCACCTAATTTTTTTACAATTCTGATTGATAAACACTAATATTTTAAGTTTATAGGCATACTAATTAAAAATATTATATCTATCAAACTCTTACTTAAATTTAACCCCCTCTCCAAGCAATCTTATGGGTACACTTCCCACATTGATTTAATGTATTTAAGAAAATTAATTTTTCTTGTGTGCTACCTCAGGATTTGAACTCTAAACTTACCCTACAAGATAATATTTGCTTATAGGTGGATCTAACCCTTAGGTTTGTTATATTTATCTTTAATTAATTAACATTTAAAACAATCTTCTTATTTAAAATATGTTGTAATTATTTTTTAAAATAAGGGTAAAATAAAAATAAATGTATTAAATGATATTTTTAAAAAATGAATAATTAAATTTGAACACTCCAATTAGAAATTAGAGCTACTAAAGTTCAATAGGAAAATTTTTTTTAATGGTTTTTAGATTTGTTTTATGTTTTATCATTGCGTTCTACTAAATTATATATTTACTATGGTAATTTTTAGTTTTTTAATGATTGAAATCAATAAAATGAAAATTAATATATTAAAAAATTATTTAAAAATTATGGAAATAATTTTTCGATTAAAATCAAAACGAATCTGTATGATTATTCTCAAAAAAGTAACCAAAATCAGTAAAACTTGTTTTCTCAATTTAGTTATTAATTTTTAAAATTTAATAACTAAACATTTAATCAACCACTAATTTGGTTTCAATTTTAACTGAAACTGAACTATGCCATTCCTACCATTAGTGATCTTAGATACTCCTTAACTAATCTCATAGCTAGCCAACCAATCAACCTCTCTCACCCCAAAAAGATAGCATTCTTATAAAATCTTTTGCATGTGAATCTTGTTTTACATCTGTACTATATCAGACTGTATAACAGGACTATTGGATTGGAGATGGTCCCCAGATTTCTTAATATTAGGAGTTCAACCCCCTTTCAATGAGTAGCATTGTATAGCCTATGAATTTTCGGCACCTATGACTGCATTCTTGACAAAAGGGTATGTAGCATTATTTGGTGCAAGTTGGTTCCAACCAAAGTAAGTTTTTTTTTTGAAGGAGGCTGCTCTTAGATAAACTGGCTATTAAGGTTAATTTACAAAAGAAGGGGGTGCCTTTGCGAGGGGAGGAGATGGGGGTGTGGATTGTGTAAGGAGGGGATTGAGGAGAATAGTCACTTGTTTTGTACGTGTAAAGAGGCATGGCTAGTCGGAAGAAGGTATTGCAGCGGTGGGGACTGGAGGGGGTGTTACCGAATAATGTTAGGGATTTGGCTGATTATTCACACATGGTTTAGGAAGGAAAGTAGTGAAAGAGGCGGCGTCTTGTTTGTTGGCTTTTATGGTACCGGAGGAATGCTGATGTTTTTAAGTGTGAAGGGAACTTTGGGACAAAATTGCTGGAAGCTGTGCAAGCTAAGTCTTTTGAGTGGATTAAAAATAAAGTGACTGGTTGTGTTTTTACCACTTCATGACTGGACACTAAAGCCGGTTGAGTGGGCTGATGCAGTGCAAAAGTATTAAGTGTCATCGGAAGCCATTCTGCAGGCGCAACAAATAAATGGTAGAGATATCGGGAGGTGACGTGTTCAGTTTGCTTGAAATTTTGGCTTTATTACTTGTTGGTCTTGATGTTGTTTGGCTCTATGTATTTTTGAATGGGCAGGGTACCCTAGTACACTAATTAATAAAATTAATTTTAATGATAAAAAAATATTATTAATTTAATATAATCCAAACTACATTAACATATTTGATTTTTTTACATCCAAACTACACTGACATATTCTATCTTTTTACATTCCAACAACGCTTCTCATTACTACTGCTTTACTTAAAAAATGATTTTTTTTTGGTGCTTTGGTATCACCCTTAACGTACGATGGATTTTATCATAAGCTGTCATATTTCTTATGGCAGTCAATTTCAGATAGAAAAGATCTAATATTGAAAATGAACAAACAACAATAATTGTGTGAAGTTGATGCAATATTATCTAGAAAGAACTATTGATTCCATGGAAACTTTGAAAAACCAATATAATGCTCATGCATGGTTAGGGGTTGTACTCACCAACTATGTCACATGCATAAATTGCCTAACCATTTATGACCATACGAATGACCATACGAATGAACATCTTCTTGGAGTTTGGTTCTTTTTAGATAATTTTGCTTTAACTTCCCATAAATAATTAATGCTTTTGGTTTTTTTGGACTGTTTGATTTGATTCCTCACATAGTAGGTCGGTTTTATGACATATTCTATGCCTTGAATTGACTGCCCCAAGAAGTATGACAATCATCGTATGTTGAGGGTGGCGTCAAAAGATGGAGAAATCAGCAAACCACGTTTTAAATTAAGCAAAAGTATGAAGAGTATGGGGGAGAATTAAGATTTTTGGGAAGTTTTTCATTTTTGACCATGTAGGAGAGGTTGATCCATCAGCTAACTACAAGTCTACAAGGTTATTAAAGATCTGACAAAATTAAAATTAGTAATTGAATTGGTTAGATGTAACAAACTTATGTTTAGGTTTGGTTTGGATAAAGACGATATATTTACCCCTTTTGTTTTTCCAAATTCGATTAGTATTCCTATAATCTTAGTTAATCTACCACTCATTGAAAATTTTCTAACATGCTGCTAGGCGCTGTACATTTCTAAAGGCAAAATTTCATTTTAAAAGAAAAAAAGGAGAGAGAATAAACCTCTTTACAAAAAAATAAAAAAATTTTAAAACAAAGTATAATAGATTAAAATTCTGTCATTTTTTTTTTTTTAATTTTTAAAGGGAAGAACAGCAAAAAAGAAAATTACATAGTACATACTTTAACACCATTTTTCCAAAAAAAAAAATGGCCACTACCCCACTAGGTATTTATACCTATATAAATACAAATTCAAAGAATGGTGAATTTCACAAATTAAAATCTGACACCAAGACCTTACATTTGGGCCCAAATCCTGGTATCAAACACAAGAAGATTAATTAAAGACAAATGATATGATTAATATTTGCTCCTTTGAGTGAAGTGGAGCTTCAAAAGTGGGAGAGAATACTGAATTTGATGGTTTGAGGTCTTTATAAACCATTAGACTTAAGTAAAATATCAACATAATCATGAGCCGTTTGTCATGTATGTAACTCGATGTGTAAGCAAAAGTAATCTCTCCTTTTCTTCCCTTGCTTTCTAATTAATTACTGGAATCCCTGAAGACTCTAACTTTTCATCTAGATAGCACCAATTTGTAACCTCATTCCTTTGCAAAAATTACAAGCGCACGGCTGCACTCTCCAACAGGCCATAGATTTTTCTTTCTTTTTCTCAAATGCAAGCGTGTTGTTTGAGAGTGGGATCAAACCGAGTAGGATGCAGGGGAAATCAAGCGCGATCCTCATGTT